CAACATTCGCACAAAAATTCAATAACCATCAGTTACAAATTAACAAACAAATTTGAGTAAAAATCAGCGGCCAAATCTAGCCGGTGCTGCAGCCAACCTCCTATTTTCGTTGGCCGCTGGTGTCTCAATATGTCGCCCCTCTTCAGATATGTCTGCTTGGTCAGAGCCCCGCCGATGGGATCATCACCGGACCTCTACAGCCGATCCGTGTAGCCGTCGCCGCGACTCGTGCCGTCAGATCTACCGCCTTCAACAAATATCTACAGCCGATCCGCGTAGCCATCCACGATTGTTGTGCTAGTCACTGTCGTAACTCGTATGTGGGTGAGAAATTGATTAGTGGGATGTGAGATTTTGCGTGAAGGTGCTACGAAATGGAAGAAGAAAAATATTATGAAGAGGAAGAGAATTTGAGATTTGATTGTTATGTGGCTCGTGAGGTACAAATAAAGAGGAATAAATTTGGGCCAAGAGAAAAATTTGGGCTAAGACCTGAGAGAAAATGTCTGTCATGATATATATATATATATATATATATATATATCTTTTTTTGGCGTAATTTTATATATACTTAGCGATATTAAATTATTTGTAAAAAGACCATGAGATGTAATTGTATTGCATTCCTATTAAATAGGGATAAAATATTTACAGATCTACCAGGATGCAGTTACCAAACTGAACAGTTGTAACCGATGATGATTATGAAACCGATTTTCACGATAAAAAAGATAACAAACCAAACATGGAAAGGAAATAAATACTGGTTCAGTGGAAATAGGAGAGATAATACTTTTGAATTTGAAGCGAGTTCAGAGTAATTCAACAACAATCTCTTGATCGGAAAAAAAAATTTTGCCGACGCAGGTAATTTTTTTTTTTTGGGTCATCTCAATCGCTTTATTTGATATTATAGTTATATTTTTTTATGGTTATTTATATGAAATAATGTCATGTCGTATATAACACGTATATAATACGTATATGTTCTGATTATTTCATGTTTTTTTAGATGGATACGCAATTGAAGATCTTCGTACATTACAATGGTGAATGGGTCATGAATGAGTATATAAACTTTCAAGTTTCGGGTATACTAGTTCGAATAAATTGCAGATTCGACGAACTATGTGATGTCTTGAAGGAGAAACTCGGAATCACGTGTCAAACATATCTTCTTGAGTTGAAGTACAAACTGAAGGACGGTTATCCCCTCATTTGTATAGATGATGACATGAGCCTTGCTTTTTACGTTGACTTGAAAATGGGTGAGTCGGATTACACGAAGTTTCCGATTTGCGTGGTTGTGAATTCTCCATTTGATGGACAACCCACGTTCGAGGGTCCTCGTAGGGTGAATGATGTAAGTGATGAAACAAGTGTAACACCGTTGGGACATACAGATCTCGACAAATATACAAAGACAAGAGATGATTCACTCAACATCATGTCTTTCGCACACGGAGTAGCAGCAGATATGGTAGAGGCGATGACATATACGGAAAATATACAGTCTATATACCCAAACAGCGAACGGAGCTTACCAATCGAGCCAAGTACTGAGTCTGATATTGTTGTTGGTCTCTTATTCGAAGATAAAATGATGTTGCAGAAAATGTTGACGATTCACGCTATAAAGAACCAATACCAATTCAGAGTTGTGAAATCATGCACGAAACAATATTACGTGAAATGTGTGTCTGGAGCGTGCACGTGGTTTGTGAGAGCGTCTTGTATCGGTCAATCAAGCACGTTTAAGGTCAGAGCCGTTGGGACTGAACATAGATGCGGATTAGATGTTCGTATGGGTGGACAGAGGCAGGCGACTTCTGACGTTGTTAGTAGTTTTATTAAGGAGAAGTTTGCAAATAATAAAACTTCATATAATCCGGGTGATATCATCCACGACATGCAAAATCACTACGGGATAAACCTGTCTTATCATAAAGCGTGGAGATCGAAGCGCAAGGCGATTGAGGTTCGTGGAAAGCCCGATGAATCGTGCGACTGCATACACCATTATCTTGATAAAGTTCGTGCATCAAATCCAGGGAGTATTTTGAGTTTGTGCACTACCACTGAAGGGAATTTTATGTACGTATTCATGTCTCTACATGCAGCAAAAAAGGGTTGGGCTCACTGTCGACCCATTATTGTTGTTGATGGGACTTTTTTAACCTCAATCTATGGAGGTATTTTATTGACAGCTTGTTGCCAGGATGCAAATTTTCACATCGTACCACTTGCGTTTAGCATTGTTGACTCGGAAAATAATCGTGCGTACACTTGGTTCTT